GTGAAAGCAGGATTATAAATGGATGTACTCTTGTAAGAGCGCACAGCCCTCAGGACACTGCTAGCAATTGGTTAATTAGCCATCTCACTCAGGCACCACTGGCTGCGTCTGACCAAGTGCTGTCCCAAGATAGGGTTAGGAGTTTGCCTCCGCGGCATTTTGTGGTTGTTAAGCAGAAGTCAGATGAAACCTAGCCTGGACACATTTTTATTTTAAAAGACAAACAGAAGGATCCGTCCCGAAGGGGAAAATGGCAACTACTTGGCGAAATAAAAGCAAATGAGGACAGATGATCCACGCAAGTGAGGAAACCCATTTCTCTTAGTGGCGGAGCTGCCAAGAAGGCTGGAGGGAGATAGGCAGAGACCAACTCAGCGTGGTCGTCTAGTCTGCAAAGGTTTGGCCTTCCCACGGCTCCGAAGCTCTGGTGGCCATTTTCTTTCCCCTTTTTCTTTCTTTGGGTAAAGGGAAATTAAAACGGAAAAGCGAAATCTCCCAGCACCAACAACTCGGCTCCTCCCCCAAAAGAAAAAAAAATTAAAGCGCAGGTACTAAACCCAATCCACATGCATCCTGCGAAGCTCCCGCAGTCAACTTGATTCCCTTTGGCGAGCCATGCCGAAGGAGACGCAATCTGGAAAAAATCAATCAGAGCTCACGCCCCGCTCCGCCGCCACCGTCGCCGCCGCAGTGGCCAGGAGTCAGGGCTGCAGGACGCTCTGCCGCAGTGCACGTTCGTCGCAACCGTCCAGCTCCGGTGAATAATGGAAGCAGAGCAAGGAGACAATCAAGCTGATTTATCGCGCAAAATAACTCACTGCTTCAGTCCAGCTCTTCGATGTGCCGCTTTAAATCACAAACACGAGCACACAGATCCATAGGCGCTCACACATGCACAGTGCACACGTGTGTGTGTGTTTGTGTATGTGTGCGTGCGTGCGTGTGCGTGGTGTGTGTGTGTATGTAAGTATGTATGTATGTATGTATGTGTTCGTTCGCGCGTGCGCGCCAGGACCAAGTGGAAGGATTCAGCATAGCATAAATGAAAGGGAAAACCAAAACAGCCCACCACAGTACACCCCATCTTTTGCAGCATGGGCAAGTGATGTAATGCACGTTGGCGCCAAATAAAGTCGGAGCAATGCTAGAGTGCGGGAGAATCAAGTAAGGAAAAGTCAGTAAAAACTGGGGCCTTTTGTAGGCAAAGCAAAGTCCCCCCCCACCTTATTTTAAATAGAAAGAAAAGGAATATCATTAACTGAGGTCAGTTCTAAAATGATGCTTTTCAACGCAGGCGAGTGTTGAAGAATGCAATGGAAAGTTCCTGGGCGAACATCTGGTGAAGACATCCTAAGAACACATTTGAAATGGAGAAAGCAGTAAGAGCCTTCTTTTACAGATCATCTGTACCAAAGAGGGGGGATTTAAAACTTTGTTTTCAAAGTGTATTTTGGTCTCAGGGGCCGTCTGTTTTGTGGGTAGAAGTCTGACCCCAGTGAACGGAAGTAGAGTCCTGGGTTCCTTATTAGCCTGGGCATGAGCAAGTCTCCCCTTTTCAAAGGTTCCTTTTCCTCTTCCGTAAAAATACAGAAGGTAAATGGTTTTTCTTGGCATAGTGACTTCAGGACTCCATTTACGCGGTGAGGCTTACCAAAGAGAGGGGGCACATTCTTCAGGTCTCTGTGCAGAAGGATGGACTAAATGTGTCAGTCTAATGGGCCTCAATGCTCAATGTGCAGAACTATCTGAAAGTGTGTTTAGCATATAACAGATGCTGCCTGAGAATGGTAGTGTCACATGGCTCTACTTTTGAGGAAGAGGAGAAAGACTATCTAGATCAGCCCAAAGGATTTGCAGGGTGGAAACATGTCAATGCTTTTGTTTACTAATAATCTGGATACAAAACGTACAGGATCACTTGGATAATTCAGAGCAAGTAACATTTTAGTGACTCGTATCTGTGTGCCAGGCTGGCTGTCTAGATTGGCCAAATTAATGGGATTAATTACTCCCTGCCTACTGTTTCAGAAAACAACTCCAGGCAGAGAAGGGTTGCAGGCAAGGATTGCTGTTGGATGTTCTTCATCTGTGTAGTGATCAGTAGGGCCAAACCACTTGCTAGTGTGGACATGTATCAGTTGAGTAATCACAGGCAATTTAGTTTAGCTTTGCCTCAGTTTCCTATGTTTATGGAGTAGGGAATATATCTGCAACTAATTCATAGAGGTGCCACAATCAGATGAATCATTTCATGAAAGTGCTTAGACCCCCCCCCCAGGCATGTAATAAATAAGTCCATGAATGTTAGGGGTTATTATCACACTACTGTGTACACAGAACAGAACAAGCAGGGATCAGATGAAATAGATAGTTGAATGGCTTTTGGGTTTCAAATAAGGTCTCTGAGCTGTTTATCTGTCTTCTCTGATGTCGGCATGAAGCAAGGAACTCAACAGTCTTTCTTATTAAGAATAGCCAGAGTATTCCTCAAATCTCCAATACCATGTGAGCTGGAGGGTTTCCCACTTCACCAGACCAAGGCAGATAGTCAGCCGTGACTCTTTATGTCCAGTTCACACCTAGTGGTTTACATCTTCTTACCCAGGTGAGAGGAAAGCAAGGTGTTCTTGGGAGAGAAGTTTCTGAGACTCCAGTTCCTGCCTTTTTCTGTTGTGTTGTTTTCTTGCCTGTACAACTTGTTACCTTAGACCCAGTCTCTGTCATTGAATTAGGAAGCCAAAAACCTCCCCCAAATCCCTGGCGTGCTCCTCTGTGTCCTTAGTTTAAAGGGCAAGAGGAACGCCTGGATTTCTCTCTTCTTTTAAGGATCCCCAGAGTGCATCCTTGGGAAGGGTCACAGTCATGGAATGCTTAAGGGACCGATTGTGTTTGTGTTTGCAGTTTGGGACTGGAGGCAAGCTGCTTTTAAAGCTTTATAGAGGAAGTGGGGATTAGGTGTTTCCAGAGCAAGGTAGGTGCTGGCAGGATTAGGTCATCCTTTTTGGAAAGTAATGCCCCACATTTTTTTTTTCCTCCTGCCTGTGCATTTTGCAGCCCTAGGTGCATTAACTGCTTGACCAGGGGCAGTGGGACAGCCCATAGAGGACTGGCAGGCCTGGAACTCCCTAAGAGGAATGGGTGGCCCAAGATGTCTGTGTTTAAGGATTGGAGGCTCTGGGGCTAAGTTCCCCTCTATCCAGAAAGGGTCTGGTTGGCTGCGTGGAGAGAAAAGTTGATTCCCTCCAACCTGCTAGTGTGAGCTGAGCCCACTATTCCACTCGGTCAGTCTCATTAACAGGATTTCCAAAACAAATGAATAAAAATACAGAGCAGGGTGTGCCTGCTTACCTTGCTCCTGGCTGTTTGGCCTGGCACGTTGTCCCAGCAGCCCAGGACTCCCCATCACTTTCACAGGCATGCAACTCTTCCCTTAAGAGGCTGTGCATTTTAGAAAGGAAATTCAGTATGCTTACACTTTAAACATTTTTGGAAATCCAGCATGGGAAACCCGTTTCCCCTGAAGGACCTGACATCAGCGGCTGTGAGTGCACAGCCTTACTCAGCCTCAGCCTCCCAGCATCCTTCCTTGTGGGGATTTTGTGAAGCCCCGATTTCTGTTTCTGAGTTTCTTGGAGGAGAGTTTGAGTATAAATTCAATTCGGCCTCTCACTCCCATCTCCACCCATCCTGATCACGGGGATCTCCCCCAGAGAAGAGCCAAAGTCTGGGGGGAGCAGAGACAAGGAGCTGGAAACACAGAAGTGCGGGCCAAGGTCAGGTCCGCTGGCTGACACTAAAGGAGGTAGCGGTTAGGCGCCGCCCTCTGGCTCAGGAGCTGACCTAGACGACGCCCCCTACCCGGCTGCTGTCTGGAACATCCCCAGCGGAAGGAGGGAGCGCCACCGCGGGATAGTCGCTGATTCCCCGTGAGTGCCTTTGCGAGTTGTTCAAAAAAGATCAGCTGTTGAGCACAGCTGAACTTCGAAAGACTTTCCCCCTGGCCCTGCTTCTCTGGTCCCAATGTTTCTGTCTCCCCCAGGCCAGGGATCCGATCCAATAGTCTAATAATGTACCCTAGCCCGTGAACCCAGAATCGCAACAGGCTATTCCCGGGTGGCTTACGATAGTGGAACAAGTTTACCAATCTCTTGAGGGGAAAATGGTGCAGGAATCTGAAATACTGTAAGCGACTAAAAAAACTAAACCCAAAGCAAACCAAAGCCAACTTAAACCAAAGACCAACCAAAGTCAAAACAAAAATGCCCTTTCTTCATTACTGAATCATAGCGTCCACCCCCCCCCCAAAAAAAACTTCAATGGGTTTACTTTTGCTCAGACGTCAGAGTCCTTGAATCTTTCAGGAAAACAGTTCTTCCAGGCCCTCCTGAAGGGCGCTCTTAATGCCACTGTGTTAAAACGTTTTACAGGCAAGGTTTCAGAGAGACGTCTTTCCCACGAAGAACGACTGCACTATCACATCTGTTTACAGAGAGGACTGCATGCAGAAAGGCAGAAAGACGGGATCCAAGCCAACCCAACCAAAAACGACACTTTACAACTTTGGAACCACAGTTTTGAGTATTGTGGGCCATGCAGTGTCGGCCCCTGGAGCAGACTGTATGCTGGGCTATTTCCCACTGCCTGCTGCAACTCTTCCACAGACATTTTTCTTTCCCGTTTCTTTTTTGATGGTTGATTGTAATCCCTCCTTCCAACACCCAGCTTTAAGTCTCTCTGCTCCTTATATTGTGCCTTTAGTGAGGCTTGGTCCTCGCATATATGAGGTAGAAAGCCTTTGCTGTCTGCCTGGCAGAATGTGAACCCAGAATGGAAGGCTGTTGCCAGGGCAGAGCACTCCACCACCGTCATTTATTTACACCCCGGGCATCTCATGGTGTACAGAATGAACTCCAGGGGGGAAATGGCAGAGTGGTGTGATTCCTTAGGCAGGAGAACTTGTGAAGGTTGTAGACCCCACGACTGTACAGAAATTACTACAAAGTGGTTTGCTGAGAAAACATACTGTTTTGGCTTCCTGGGTCTAAGACATCACAACGCACTAAGTAAGCCTCTATCCCCACCCCTCTTGGCAAACACCAACACACCCCAGCATTCCTGGTCCTCTAGTGGCCCCCACACTGTTGTGTGGTCCCTTTTTAAATGATCTCTTTGAAAGATGAGACCAACTTTCACTAAATTTCATGCTTCCTTGTTCCTGGTAAGTTTTATTCATGCAGCATGAGTTCTAAGACCGCCTTTCAGAGCTTGACATGGGTTTCAACCCTGGAGTAGGGAAGGAGTAAAGACTCTGACTATGCCTTCAGGGAGAAAAGGATTTTTTATCTGGTTTACTGGGGGCGGGTGCTGAGTGCAGAGCGGGGCGGCTTTGTAGAAGACCCAGTCCATCAGCTTTGGTAACATTGGAAGCACAATTTCCACATGTTCATCACTGTTTGCTTAAATGCCCAGGCAGGGCACAAAGGACACACTGCCTTTCGAACTTCTGTCGCTCTCCCCCACTAGCTGTGAGAATACAGCACACACCTGCTTGTTTGAAAGAGGCCAAATCCAGTTTCTGCCTCCCAGAGAGTATGAAGACCCCTTCTGTTGAAACTACAGTGCGAGGCATTTGCTTGCAGCGCAGGAAAGGGAAAACACTTTTGTTTTGTCTGAAGACTCACTTAGAGACTAGGCCTGGCAATCTTCCTGTTAAAGTCAATGCTAGGAAAGCGCGCAGTGCTGGAATTCTAAGATCAGAGTGCTAAGCATGTGTCTCAGCTCTCTGTTTGCATAGCTGTATTTTCCATTTCACCTATTTCCTTCTTAGGGACCCCCACCTCCTCAAGCATAAGAGATTAATAGACACACACCTACTTTTCTCAAAATAAAAACTGTCACTACGTTTAGGTGGTGGTCTGGCAACCAAGAGTCACAACTGTATATACCCATTGTCATTGTTTATTTAAATTTATCCCAACAGTTTTTTTAAGGACTTGGAAAAGTGTAGCAAGTGCTAATGGGGGAAAGAAAAAAAAATCGAGTTAGAGACGCATTTTGCTTTTTCAGATCAAGGAAAAGGACTCCGAATAAAAGAATAAGCTTTATACAGAGTATTTTTTAAAACGCTTTTCAGTAGCTCTAGGCTTTCCTCTGCCAGATCTCTAAGAGTCATCCAGTTCCGCTTTCACTTTTCCCCCTCACACCCTGGCTAACTCGCTTAACAATCTCTGGCCGGAGGCCTCGGGTAGGGGCCAGATGACCCCACAGGTTTCCCCAGACCACAGCGCTCGACTTCAGAAGAACCCAGGGGAAAAATGTCTTCTTCGTAAACTGCAGATGGAAGAAATCATTCACCCAGTTCACCCCCCGAGCTGCGGTA